TTGTGAATGAACTAATCAGAAAAAATCCAAATTATAATCAACATTGAATTACATAAAGATAAAACAAATCATTAAAATATGATATACATGTGTGAGACATGCACTGATGAGGTTTCTGACTGGGGTCAGCTATATAGCTAGGCACATGAATTTGGTGGGATTAAACTAGTTTTTTTATAAATATCAAACCTCCCAATGAAGCTTTTATTTTTTTTTCACGTAGGTAACGATTTGGTCTTATGGTCTATCTAATGTATAATGCTCAAACTAATAATAGATACTAATGCCTGTTGCTGGTCGACTAACTTGTTTTGCAAAATGTAATTAACTTGAAGAAAAATACTGTTTCTGACATAATACATGGGAAAGTCTAACTTTTTATAATAAAACAGATAACTTATATCAATAACATATCAATAACTACTTATTCACCAATCAGTAAAACGGTAAAATTAGAAGAAATATGTACTTTACTGCCGTATAAGGGGTTTCGCATTAGGCAAAGACACATATTTTGGGATTCAAATAAAACACTTTTCCCCCTTATACCACCGATATGTCTATTCTCTTTCCAGAACAAAATGTAAAAATCATCATGATTTGAATCAAGATTCAAAATTATGCCATTATTTTTTTTTTGTGGTTTTAAAGCAGTTTTGTTGATCAAATAGAGTTCTTATATTGTCATCAATTAAATCATAGATGATACTGAATTTGAAATGCAGTAAATGTTTTTTGCATAAGACTTTATGTACTGAAGACGTAGATGACACGACGGTCCGCATAAAATAGAACCATGAGTTAAGATACGACAGGATATCCAGTGCGGATGACAAGCCGGATTAATGATATTTTTACGTTAAATAATCAATAATTCTCTTAATATGCTTGCGAAATTTAGTATACGTTAATAGATAAATCAAATATAAACAGCAATACCTGACCTTTCCTTCATTAATATATTTTCCGTTTCACAAAACGCTACACAAGAAGGGGGCTCGGAAATTAAGATTCTTAAATCCAAACCGATTCACCGCCAGTCCTCTCTTTAAAAAAGGAATCAACTGAAGCCAGTTGTCCAAACGAATATAATCTACGACAAGCAGAACCTCGACGCATCCATAATTGGAGACACTTGTTCAAGCAGATGTTGGCCTGCAATTTAGTTGTGAAAGTTGTGGAAGAGACATCAAATCAAAAAGCAGCCATGAACAAAAACGAAAGAATCCTAACCGGAACTAAGAATTACTCACCAGATTGAAAATGCAAAAGAAACAAGGTTCGTACTAGCCGACTAAACAAATCGAGTTAGAGATTAAACTCGAGGGTTCGGCAGTGAGGAAAAAGTCACCAATCTTCTCAAACTATGTGTGTAAATAAAAGGAACCAAATGATAATAACACATGTTATAGTTCGTGCGTCCGAAGCGAGTTTTTAGATTTAAATCCATCAGCCCCAACATTAAAAGCCAGGGATGTATAAATATGTAGAAACGTTAGGAGCAATTTGATTAAAAGGGTCTTAAAAAGAATAACCAAAGTATATAATGTGATAGTTTGCTTATGAAACTTATACATAATGCTTATCACCATAAAACACGGATCAAGTTCGAATTTGGGTGGCGTCACTTTTACACTTCTCTAGTTATTAATTGCAGTAATGAATATTATTTTTATAGTTGCTGAAAAATTGGATATATGCTGTTGTAGTACTACTCTTGAAATGTTTGAAGGCCGTATAAGTTAAGGCAACAGTAGGAAACCGGTGTTCAATTTTCATAGATCGATAAAGATGATACAAATCAAGGTAAGTCAAAAAAGTATGAGGGAATCACATGAACTCTAAAAGTAGCAAGACCTATGTTCAATCCTTATAATATCGTTTGCGTCGACAGGGTAAGCACTATACTGTTATGGACACATCAACCGCCATGCGAACCCACATTCATTCAAAATCTCACTATTGGTAAAATTACATGTCAGACGACAAATCTAGTTTCTAAAGGTCTAAGCCCGCAAGAAGATTTCGCTAGTGAGTTGAGACACAGAAATAGTAACTAGTGATAAAAACTCCCAGTCAGGATTCTACTTCGTCAAAGTTATGTCCCCATCACGCCACCTGCTTTTTTTTCAATTGCGAAAATGGAAGCCATTTAAGGGATGAAGCGCCATCAATTTTGCTCTTGAAAATCGATAAATTTATCCAAATATCATTATTAACATTCTTACATTACAGTTGTATTTTAAAAGATAAATGTATCTATTAGCTACGAGGGTTGTCCGTAAAGTTTGAGGACAATCTCAATAAAATATCATTTACCCGTCCGAAATAAATAAAACAAGTATATAACTAATTTCATGATTTACTGATTAAGTGTACAAAATTTTATTTCAGTACCTGCTTAAATAATCGTATTTTCATCAATGTAAAAATATAAGAAGCTCTCACCCGGAGCACCCAAACAAATATTTCCGACGTTCCGACGTTCGACGACGTCAACATTATAACTTTTCTCAACGTAGTCTCCTTTCAAAGCAACACAGTTTTTACATCTTTTCAACCAGTCATCAAATATTTTCTCAAACTGTTCTGTTTTTGTTGTTAAGATTATGTTCATTACTTCCTGTCTTTGTTCAGGTAAATCGTCGAACCTTTGTCCACGGAGAAAAGATTTGATATGCGGGAATACCGCAAAATCCATTGGCGCTAAGTCAGGGCTATACGGAGGTTGTTTCAGACATTCGAACTCAAGTAAATCAATTTCTAGATGAGTTTTTAGAGAAGTGTGCCCGGTGCATTGTCTTGGTGTAATATCACTGATGTAGTAATGAAACCAGCTTTCATCGGTTGTAATTATTCTGTCTAGAAATCGTATGCCACCACGACCACGAGAAAGTTTTTTAATAAATTGATTCGACAATTCCATCATGGCCGTTTTGTTAAATGTTCTGCTGTAAGAAGTCGCTGTACCCATCTAGCACATACTCGATTCATATTTAAATCATTTGCAAAAATGTGGTGCGCTGTAGTCTTAGAAATGTCACATTTTGTCTGCAACTTCGCAAACTGTTAGTCGCCGGTCAACGTTGATAACGTTCAGAACTTCATCTTTTATCGCATCTGATTTCCTGAAAGATGGCCTACCTTCCCGCTCGTCGTCTTCCAAATTGTATCTACCGTCCCCAAACCTTTTGTGCCACTTGAATTCCAATAACCGACTAACTTTGCTATGTTTCTCAGACTGTTTTAAGAATTTGTGTGTTTCTGTTGGCGTCTTTCCGATGTCTACATAAAGCTTTATAACCATCCGCTGCTCCACCTTTTCCGTAAATGCCCTTTTTTTCAGTGAAGCCGATTCTGAATTCAATGCTTCAAATCGAGTTTTCTCCGCCATTTCGAAATTTTGACCATTCAAATTTAGCAGGTGTAACGGCAAGACTATTGTCAACGTCACAATGTATGTTTCGTGTATTTTTTGGCGGATTTTGAAATTTAAAATAACAAAAATATGAAAACACCAGCCTGCATGTAATGTGATATTTTCACCATGCTCCGGGTCCCTATTGCTTATATTTATATAAAGTAAGTGTCATTATTTCGTATTTAAAATTGGACAACTATTGATATAACCGAACTAGGATATAGTTCAGAATTACTAATATGCAAAAAGAATTTACAAGAAATGCTATTTTTACGCAGACTTCAGCTTGTCCACGAACTTTACGGACAACCCTCGTATAATGAATTGTGAAATATACTTTTATGCCTTTTGTCAACGTTAAACTATTGTCTGGTCGGTTGTCAGGTTGAATTTTCGAAAGTTCAAAAAACATTAAAAAAAAATCTAATTAAATATTTCATGGAAGGGCAGACTAAAACTTTTCTGAGGTTGAAGACGAATTACCCTTGATAATAAACCCAAAAATGTTTTTTTTAAGCTATGCATTTTTAAGATCCACTTGTAAATTCTGTCGTCATTGGTTTTTAGTAAAAAATGTAAGTGTATCTGACATTTTTTTCAGTACATTTTATGAATAAAATAACTAATATGACTAATAACGAAAATAAAATGAAATATACAAGTAAGAAATACACCTCAAATTTTAATATTTGTAGTAGCACGAAAATTCTTTTTTTTTGTTATTCAAACACACCTACTCTGTTGTTATGTCTCATTAGAAATCTCATTAGAAAGGTATTTCATTTAACCCATATTCTGTATTTCTTGATACTTTGAATTTGTGGTGTTATTATATTAACACATAGTCTAAATATATAAAAATAATGAAATCTGTAGCGAGATGAGGTATCAAATATGTTTGCTTTATACGTTTTCAAGACAAACAGTCAACTTAAACACGTTTGAACATAAAAAATGTGTACCCGACTTTCTCTTTTCGATGAGATTATTGCCCATGTTTATGATTTTTCCCAAAATAAATGTTGCCAGGGGCTGAGATGCAAACTAATGCTTTTAAAAGATCAATCTTTTTATCTTTCTGTGGAATTTTTTTCGACACATTTTATGCTTATGCACAAAAAGATCCACGTGTATATGCACCTACTATAATCGAGTGTTTTGTGAAATGTTTTCTTTACTTCAAAAGTTTACAAATATTTCGAAGCTCCATATTATAATTTAACTATGCACACGTACATGTATATGCACTGTTTTTCCCAGTTATCATCCACAAAGCAACAAGTGACTGTATACTGATATTCTATTCGGCGAGGTTGTCACATCCTGTGCAAACAGAGTATTCAGGAACAAAGGGCCCTACTCATAGAAGGGAATGACAAAAGCGCTTAGAAATATGTTTGAAAGACTTTTGAAAATGCTTCCTGTCAAAAATGAATTATGCCTCGTCTTTTCGTATCTCCACTGCATACTATTGTTAGATGGTATCACATACCCAGAATGACAAATGATATTCTTCATAAAAAATGAAAGATAATAAATAAAGGCACTTTGTAAGTTTCTATCTCAAAAAATTGACACATTTATTTATTAACAAAGAATTGAAAATAGTGAAGGCCTAATTGACCAGATAGGTTTATCCAACTGGAGGTCCATTTACAACATCAACTGGCATACAGTGCTTGCAAGTCTTTGCACAGTAGATCTTTGCTGTTGGTACATTACAGATATTGCTGGCAACAAACAGTGTGCAATCTACTTCCGGTTTATCTTCACAAGGAGGACCTGTAATAATAAATACATAGATTTGAACAGTCGTATATCTTATACTTTGCAATCATTTACATACTTTTATGATAATTTAAATATTAAAAAATGACATTAAATATGATCAAATTATCCCCTCCACAACTTCAACTGTAACACTGGAATAACTTGTATTCAATTCTTTTGTGTAACAATATAATACATGTATTTTCAAACTAACTAGCCCTATTTAATCTTATTTTTTAGAAGTAATATTGAATAAATTTAATTGTACTTAGCTGTACACGTTTTTTCTAATTGAACTGTAATTGAATTAAATTAAAAAAATCATACTCCTTTTCAATGCTTAATGCTTTTGTTAGTGGAAACTGAGTCGTTTGCTCTGGGTTTTTTTTCAAGGCGAAAGAACAATCCCACTTAAATAAACAACATTAACAAACTTATTAAAGGATTTTGTTATATAAAATCAATAGTAACTACATTGTTATTATATTGTTTTGTTAGAGTAAATATAACATCAAGGTCTTAAACACTGACATTGGAAGGAAATTGACAAATACAACACTTCATTCTCTATCTGTCATCCGAAAACTACGGAAGTTATGATTATTTTTGGAACATCAAGGGTCAAATCTTAAGTACGTTAAGAAAAACATATTCAAATTTCATTTCATGTCTTATCCATGGAGTTATTGTATGCCCTATTGAAATCATGAAAACATAGAACGAGATTAAGAAATATTGCTCTTTAGACTGATAAATCTGTCTCAACTCTGAGCGTAGGCATCAAGTTAGGGGACAGCACTCGTCATTCTATATTGCTCTTGTATGGAATGAATTAAGTCCACGAAAAACAACTCAATCCGTAAGTCCAGAAAAAAAATCATAAAAATTAAATTCATTTTATGAGGGGATTCTCCATGTTTCATTGGAATTTAGGTCACAGTTCTGGAATAGTTTAAGGGAAATAATTGAAAATCCAAGTGTATCCTTTGTTAATGATCCATAAGTTTCTTTCCAACTTCAATAATTTGGACCAACCATTCTCTATCCACAATTTACATATACATCTATGCATCACTTATACCTCCGATTCTCTTAGTAGGAGTATAGACAGTCGTAGAATTCAAATGGAATTTTAATAGTTAACCATACAATACTAACAATGATTGCACGATCTGGTACATAAGGTATTGGCTACAGCTGTAGAACAAATATTGGTTACCATTAGGACAGTACAATTTACTCCAGGTTTATCACTGCATGTTGCTGAAAACAAAGCAACATGTATTTTATATAATAATCTTTATTTACCTAAGTCATAACAAATATAGGCATACAACATACAAACTACACACAGTATACATAGATAGCAGAAGGTAGTGTGAAACATATTACAACATGTTAGATCTTAATTTCTGTGCACGAAATATATTTGAACAACTGTATAAGTGTATTACTCTCTATATAAGTTTGCTAAATGCTTATAGAAGCATGCTTTTGGGACAATAGTTGTGTTAAAATTATTGAGCATCTAGAAAACGCTGTTATCGTTCTAGACCAACATGGATTTTTGGGATTTTTAAAACCATTAGCAAATTTGACATAAAGACGTTTGTATGTTTGGCCGATACCACCATCAATTCCGCGGACTATTTCCTTATACTATTTTACAAACAAATTGAATACTAGATGTCCTACGGTTTTGTTGTCTTACTGAGGCATGTCAACATCACACAAAATAGCCATTTATTATAGAACAATATCCACACTTGAAGTGCTCGCTTTGGTAATTTATTGATTCAATTATGAAAGAAAATATAGATAAAATGAATCTTTGTATCGTGACTTATGAAACCGACTAAAATACTTCGATTTGCTGTCCTTCAGTCAGGCAATTGCGGTAGAGAAAAAGAAAAATTTCAATTTAGAGTATTCATAAACTAAAAATGAGACAAATTGTGCGAATATACATATTGAGTAATTCCATTTTCATTTTCTATTACTGAATATGTATTATTTGATATGTTATATTTTTCTATGCATTCATTTAATTAATATGTTCATTATAGGCTCTGTGATGAGCTAAATAAAAAATATATGTATATGTATATACAAAATAATTGAAATGCAACACTTTCCAATGCTTATAGCATTCATCAACACGTATATTTGAAACGCAGCATTTTCCAATACTTAATATGCATCAACATAAATAGTTTATGAGAACGATTATAACATAATTTATACCTTGGGCGTTTTGGCTTGCAGATACTGAACTAGCAAATTGGGTTGTTGGTGCTATTGATGTGTTCTGTGCAGTTGTTCTAGTAACCTGTGTAATGGTAAAAAGTGTTGTAGGATTGCTCGTAATATCAGGACTTGATGCAACTGGCGTAGTAGAGGTTGTTGTAATCATATGTGTAGTGGTAGGCGTTGTTGTTTGTAAATTTGTAGTGGTAGGCGAAGTTGTTGGTTCATGTGTATTGGTAGGCGAGGTTGTTGGTTCATGTGTAATGGTAGGCGTTGTTGTTGGTACATGTGTAGTTGTAGGGGTTGTTGTTTCCACATGTGAAGTGGTAACCGATGTTGTAATCATATGTGTAGTAGTAGGTGTTGTTGATTTTACTTGTATACTTTGATTTCCTACTATAACATAACTAACAGTAATTACTTGTGAACAAATAAATAATAATGTTATTGATACTTTTATAAAATATATAAAGCATATAGTGTAATATCTTAATCAGTATAACATTCCTCATTGACATAAAATCAAATTCACAGCAAAAAACTATTATTTCCCAAACTTACAATAGAAATTAAATTAAAAAAAAAAACAAGATTGACTGATTTTTATTTGCTTAGCGACCAGTGAAAGTACTTTATGCATACTCCGAACGAGAACAAATTGACAATAAATCCAATAGGAAGGGCGGAAATTACGACTGCCACTGGAAAATGCTGGATAGAGCAATAGTTTTGCATTGCCGCAGCCAACCAACGGACCCCGCCTCATGAAAAAAAACTTGAAGTCCTACTGGGCATTAATTAAAATTTGATGAGGAGATCTATTTGAATTCGAAAATACGTGGAACAGTTCCATATCAAATAAATGTAGTTTTCTGTCAGGTGTAATACAATGATATACGTCCGATATGGTCTATTAAATTGTTACATCAACGTAAATTTGACTTGTTCCAATGGTTTGACTTGTTATTTTTCAATACCATACTCTTCTCCTAGAATCACTGTCATCAACTGTATCATTATACAAATGTTTCACACACAGTGTTTGCATGGCATAGCAGGATACGCTTACCCCGTTGATGCACCCGGTCTCTCTCCTTTTGTAATTCATGCCAGATTTGAGCACCGATTACTTAATGTCGTCTTGATTTGGTGAAAAAGCCATAGCTGTACGTTAAAAAAGACACGAGAAGAGGGGTATAAAAAAAGTCACCCAATTCCACTCAACAGAACCAAACAGACCAACAATAAAACACTCACAGAACCATATGCACATGCAATATAGCCTTAACATGCATAATACTAACCTTGAATTGTAGCTAACAGGTATGTAACTAGCAAAAAAAAAAGAAAAAAAAAAGAAAAATACAGAAAATGTTATCTAGTTTTTTTGTGTGTATATGCAAACGTGTTGGCGATGAGGATACAACTTTCATTTTGTCTCTGAAATCAAACGGATCATCATCATCATCGTCATCACTATGAAAATCAAAAGGCTTAGGTCTGGCTAGTAGATATCAATAATCTCAATCAGATATTTTCCCCATCGATCCTGTATTTTATATTTTTGTAAACACGTCACAGTCTTTTTTCGTAAAAAAAAAATAGAGACTCAAATTTGAAATAAAGCCAAACAAAAAACAAAAACAAAAAACAAAAAGTAAAACATTTAAAAACATACAACGTAAATTAGAAATTACACACCAGGATCCAAAAAGATACACTGATATTAAAAAAACTGGAAAACACACACTAAGAATAGAAAATTACATACTGAGATTTCAAAGATACACACCGAGAATTGAAAATTACACTCTGAGATTTGAAAGATACACACTGAGAATTGAAAATTACACTCTGAGATTTAAAAAAAAATACACACTGAAATTTATATGCACATTTCCAATGAATATTCATGGCGTGACTTATTCAACAAAGTGATATCTTGGTCACCTGAACTCTTGTCACATAAAAAATCAATCTTGGAAACTTAGATGCTTCAATAATTTGTAAGAAACTTGTAATACGAAAACGAAATCTATTCAGATATTCTTCATATAACTAAAAATTAGACCCAAGGGTAACAACTTATTAATAAAAAGTGAAAAAGGAAGAGGAAAAAGATAGCAAGCTAAGTTAAGGAGTCAATAAAAAACAGAAGTTGAAGAAAACCAGACAATATAATGACAAAAAAGAAAAACATAGAAAAGATAAAACAAAATTACAGAAAACTGAAGACTGAACAATAAATAAGAAAAAAAAACAGTCTGAGATAAACAAACAAAAAATGCAAGGTTCATGTCAATTTGACAACAAAAAATCAATGACTGTTTCGGGAGTATTAAGTGTCCACACAGAATTAAAAGATAACAGAATTAAATCATGAATCCCCTGTTGAAAATACGAGGATTATTATCGGGTTCAGGACCTTTAGAATGTCCAATATCAGAATGTGCTTAATATTTGTTATGTCATTCAAAATACCAACGGAAATTGTATTTGGTAGAAAATTTATGAAATTGGCAAGAGATTCCAAATAAGGTCATCCTAATTGGACATGAAATTAATATACATGTAGGTATAATCAAAGAAAATTAGAGCTGAAAAAAGTACACTAATTTGTATCACTGAATTTGTTTAAAAAGATAATCATTATTTACGTTAAAGGTACTAAAGGTAATTACAATTATAAAGAGTCAAATATGAATTCAGAGGGAAGGGATAAAAAATTATGCCTTAACAGATTGAAAATGCCAATGATTTTCCTGTGACAGTCTTTGTTGATTATTTCAAATTCAAATGAACCTTTTTTGTGTTCATTTAGTCTATGTTTTTTTTGCTAAGTCGTCAGCTTTCTGTAAAGTGTTTTATCTTTTCATTGTTTTTCTTTTTTGCGATTTTATTGTGTCTTTTTCTTCAGCTTGTTGTTTTTTACCAGTTTGTAATTTTTAATTATCAGTGCGTAATTTATTTTTTTATTAAATTATCAGTGTATAATTTTAAATTTATTTAATTCCAGTGAGTGTTTTTACATTTTTTAATCTCAGTGTGCAATTTTTTCCAAGAACTGGCTTCAACATAGTTTTGACGAGAACTGCTTGCCATAGTTTTTAGACTTTCGGTTAAAGCCTTTGTTGCATGTATTTACTTTTCTTATCTCTTACATACACGTACTTTTGGAAAGGTTGGAACAACTCTTAATGTAAGACAATTCTGACATACATGTATATATAAAGATAGTCACTGATAATTATCTAATATATTTTCGCAATGGGCTACATTATAACCCTTGGAACAAAGTAAGACACTGCTTGTTCACGAGTATATTATCATTTTCAGTCTGAAATATTTTGAAATAGGTATCTTATTTCATACAGTTCACATATTTAATTTTATATATATATATATATATATATATATATATAATGCTTAACAGTGTAATTTTAAACACACTATTTAGTATGAAAATATTAAAATGTTAAAAATATTTACAATGCGATAAAAAATCAACGCAATATTTCGCTTGACAAACTAGCTTCATCAAGCGTGCATCTATTTAGGTGAAATCGGATGCAGATAAGAAACTTTTGCAGCTCATTGTACAGTGAATTTTTGCTGCTATAAATAAATTCAAAATTTGAATGATGTTCAAGATTATTTATTGTTGAAGTAAAGGTAAGTTTGCAACGTCCATTGGCTAATATAACAGAGATGTGTATGCTCCATCGTATGTTCACATTTTATGGACTTCATAAACAGGGGTGTGCTCCCTACTTCAAAACAACGCCACCAGAGTTATGAGGAAGAACGATTAAATCGACACTTAACAAGTTTTACGTTCACCATCACGAATTGGTTGACATATACGATGGGTCTGTTACTCGACTTCCTAGCCACATGTTTTACATTTTGACTGAGTGTTGCTTCGCATGACGGGCGATACAGGCATAGCAGAAGACGTTTAAGATCTTCTTCATCCACTCTCAAATAGATTTGTATGTTATGTGTTGCTTTTTATAGGCACTTATATATATATAATAGGAATAGTGATAATACTATATTTAATGATAATGATCATAATAAGTGCCGTAGCAATTTTTCTCACCAGCAATTTCTAAATGGATGAATTGGATTAGTTTGGAAAATGTACTTACTTATTGTAGACATGCACACAGCCGAATCACAGTCACAATATCCATTTGTTGGAAAGAAACTACAAATATGAATTTTCTACAAATAAATAGACAATACTTTATATGTGTCTTCTTCACGTAATCACATGTACATGACTTTCTAAATTTCTCTAAATAGTACTAATAACAACAATCTGTTTTAAAATGAACCAGCTAGTCGCGATTTAACATTAAAATTTATCATATAAAGTTTGCGTTTCAAGTGAAGTTGTGATAAGATTCTTTTAAGTAAGGATTCTAAGTACAATCTTTCAGCGGTATGTTTATCCGGTGTCTGTATTGAACCGTTATGTCTTTTGCGTACCTTGTACATTTAAATAATCCACATGACTAGATAATCTAAGGGTTTATCACGTCCATGTGAAAGAATGATTGTAAAAATGATAGTGGTCAGTCAGTACATGAACCTATCACTACGATTATTTTATAATGAATTCAAACAGAACCTCCTTAAATACAAATACAAAAAGTAGTTGCAAGGTTCTATAATTTCACTTTCAGATATATTGATGCTGTCGTGTCACTCAATAATCAACATTTCAAATAATGTTTGCATCTCATATATTCTAGTGAACTTGAGATTAAAGATACTACTGAAACTAGAAGGTTTCTTTCATATCTTGATATTTTCCTCGATATTGACAAAGATGGACGACTTCAATCTAGAATCTATGTCAACAAGATGGTGTACACTCTTCACTTTTCAGCAGTACCATACTCTCTGCCCCATCGTACGGTGTTTAACTAATACGTTACGCTTGTGCATGTTCACATTTTATGGACTTCATAAACAGGGGTGTGCTCCCTATTCAAAAACAGCGCCACCAGGGTTATGAGGAATAACGATTGAAATCGACACTTTATAAGTTTTACGGTCACCTTTACGAATTGGTTGACCTATACGATTTGTCTGTTACTCAACTCACTTGTGACAAGTTTTACGGTCACCATCACGAATTGGTTGGCCTATACGATGTGTCTATTACTCAACTCACTAGTGACAAGTTTTGTTGACCTATACGATGTGTCTGTTACTCAACTCGCCAGTGAAAAGTTTTGTTGACCTATACGATGTGTCTGTTACTCAACTCACTAGTGACTAGTTTTGTTGACCTATACGATGTGTCTGTTACTCAACTCACTAGTGACTAGTTTTATGGTCACCATCACGAATTGGTTGGCCTATACGATGTGTCTGTTACTCAATTTACTAGTGACAAGTCTTATAACTAGTGATGTCCGATATATAATTTTATTGATTATGTCTTATTTCCGATTTTGACATTTTGACTGAGTGTTGCTTCGCATGACGGGCGATACAGGCATAACAGAAGACTTCATCGATTAATGAGATTTGAAAATCGATGTACTATTGTTGTCTATAGCTAAAATGATACTAATTTGGCAAGCAAGTTATTCCAATGAAATTTTAATGTGTTGTACGTATTTTAACGTAACGAAGTTTTCAATATTAAATATCCTCTAATAAAATGAAAAAACCCCAATTTAGATTAAAGGATCTGTGTGTAAATGAAATAAACACATTATTGATTTAGTTCGACCGAAACGCTTTTCTGGAATTACCTTTATTACTATCTGGAACGCTCAAACCTTGACATTTGAAACCAAGGATGCCTAAATACGATGAAAAGTAAGGGGGGGGGGGGGGGGGGAATACATAAACAGAATAGCCAAATGCATACAAGGTCAACTGATGTAAAGTTATGTTAAATAACGAAACTAGCTTGTACGACAGCTTTATCAGACATTTAAAGTGACATTTTTGCCTAAAAAGCTATGCTTTGTAGTCAGCTACGTGTAATCCAGTTAATCAATCTAAATGCCAAGTTCATTGTTT